TGAGCTATCAGGTCAATATTTGGCTTAACATCTTCTTTGACATACCCATTTTCTTAAAATGTATGTATAAACTATCAATTTCAGCATTTAAGAAGTGTAAATCCAGTTCAAAGCTTCTATAAAGGGAGTCTTACTTAAAGATTTTTAAGATCAACCACGTTTCAAAAGGAATATCAGCTGAAATAATGTTCATCCAGGGGGTTTCTATGTAGATAATAAAAATATATGTTAGTCTTGATGAAATATCCAAACCTAAATATATTTTGACACTGGTCGATGATCGTTGAATGCCCCCCCCCCCCCCTGCACTAATTGTTGCACCTTTAACTTAAACCAGAACTGTTGATGTTATGTGAAATCATACAGTATAAAATGTCCTGTGAAATTTTACAGTATAAAGTGTCCTTTGAAATACAGTCTGCAAGGTTTACTCACTGTTGAGCTATAATAATGATGAATCTGAATAGGAACTGTGTAAGGATTTATCAGTGTTGAATCTTATATCATTATTATTTAGACTAACCGTATTATGAATAAAACATTTATGATTACATCCTGTCTTACTTCAGTGACAGGAAACATTAAAAAACAACTCTGGCAATTGTCCATTATAGTGCACGGTATAAGCCCCCCCCCCCTCCGACCTCCTCCTATATCTTCAATAAAGTGTTTGTTTCTCTATTTGTTGTGTTTAGAGTTGCTTGTGGTTTTGTTTACTACAGAGGTTTATCGCCATAGTGAGAATAAGCCTGGTGGTCTGGGAAGTTCATTCATGGTGTAGATATATGGGAGATTATAATAGATGATGAGTAGGTTTATAGTGGCCGATATTTTGGGCTCGCTGAAAAAATTAAGGCCTAAAAACTTTCCAATTTAGATGATAATCTGTCACGCAAAAATAACTGCCGTGACTTCAAATTCTTCAGCAAATGCGTGACAAATACGCAAATTGCGGGACAGTTGACAGGCCTGCATCAGTATAGTGAATACAAATGTGTGTAACAACTCTTGTAAAAAAATGATAAAAAAAACAAACCAATCAGCACAACCAGATATCAAAACCAGATGATTCACATCATTTCTGTTTATTATTTTATAATCATAAAATCAATTAATTTTTTCACTATAATTTCAGAATCGTTTGTTTTTTCCAAACCAGACATCCATCTGAATGTTTCTGAAAATAAATATTCTGGGATGTTTCTCATTTTCTCACACCCAGTCATAGCAGGCTCTGTACTGTAGGTATGTTTATATCTCTCATGTTGATGTTTCGCATTTCAACTTATCTCTATAGTTAGGTTAGAATGACTGATCCCTCAGATACCTGCGTAAGGTAAGATTCCAGTCACCCAAATATGGGCGTATACACCTAATATGGTCATATACAGCAGTCAGTCAGCTGGCCAAACAGCTGCCAATCTAACATAGAGGGGAAGATCAAGTTTCTGACAGGCATAGTCTCTCTCAGCTGTCAAAGATCATTGAGTAAGATTCATGGTATGCACAAACCTATGGAGTAGACTATGAAAGATGTTCCCTGATTAGCCCAGATTAACAGGCCTAAATAGCATATAAAAAGTGAGAGTTTACTAACATGTATGACGTGGGGAGGTTGCTTGTTGAAAGGTCATTGACCCTTCACAGGATAAAAAACATTTCTTCGTTTACCTGTGGTGAGAGGAATGTTAGTCTGGAGATAAGACTTCAGGTATCCTTTACAAATCCATCAAAACTCTTAAATTACCATATGTACAAGCAGTCTCATATGATATCCACTGCACTCATATGATATCTACTGGTGGATCTTGGGGGCAGGGTAGAGGACCAAAATCTGCTTCTCCCCACATAAATTAGGCAATTGGGTAACAAACAAGCATCACTGGGTATTATTTTTAATTTCGAGCTTAGTTTTAAGAAATTGGACCAAATTTTCAGATTTGGGCCCCTTGATTTTCATCCATCCCTGATATAAGACTGTTTTCTCCCAAGTAGTAGCTAACGTTTTCACTTTATACTCTTATAAAAGTCTACAAAGCTGCATTTAAGATCATAAGATCTGAACATAAAAATCATCTGTAATAGTGAGAGGGCAGTGTGATTTAATGATTAGCATCTGGGTAGAGGTACTGCATTCTGTTTATGTCTGTATTAAGGAGGTCATGCTCAGTGTCATCAATAGTGAATCTGTAAGAGAAATCCCACATATCCTTTGTTCTACTATATTTTACTTGCATAATCCCTTTGTTCTACTGTTAGGCTGTGACCAAATTTCTGAAAATTACTGAAATAATTTTTTATGAAGAATATGCCACTGTATAAATCTGCTAAACAATGTAAAATCATATATGAATGATATCAGATATACTAATTTTATCTAACTTAAACATATAAGAAATTTCCACTTCTTATCCCATGGGTTAAGGTACCCCCTCCTCTCCTAAAAAGGAAAATTGCCATATTATTATGGGTAAATCATTGATCCTCAGAATCAAATTTTATTCTCAAGGAATGGTTATGAGCATGACAAAAAATCTTTAGGACTATGCTAACTACTGCATCTTTGATTATAAGAAATACTGCACATACACAAAATTGATTTCTTTGGGGTTAGGTGGGGTAAAAGGTCTGTTTGTCAGTTTTGCTCATTTTGTAACATTGATTTTCTCACTTAGATTAGGCCACATAAGAATCAATGTTAACACTTATTTTCAAGTGGGAAGAAAGTTAACTCAAAATTAAATTAACTTCATGTTTTGGCGTAATTTATTTGATTTATTATGTATCAAACAAAACATTAAGAAACACACGCATCATGATATAACCTAACACACTAGTGCTTAAAGTATAAAAAGGCCAATGTTATTTACACATATGATCTTTCTTTTGGATAAAAAGTCAGTTAAAATCACTTAACCTTGTGTCATGATAAGCAGCTCATGAACTATCCCTGTAATAATAAACAAGAATTAATAAACCGATTGACATGTCACCTTAATTATATCTCAAGATGTTTTGGCGAATGTTATAATGGGTTACATCCAGTGTCAATTTATCCTTATATAAGACTCATTTTTGCTAACCAATTTCCCATGCATGTGATCATCTTTCATAAACAACTCATTAACTTTTTGTTCCTTGTGTATATATTTAACCTAAATATGTTATATGTTGATATTTTTTTCTAATATTATACTGACAGATGGTGATAATTTCCTGTGCAGGAGATAAGGGAGTTTGACACTTAGCTGTCTTATCTAACTTAAAATCTAACGTTCAACATATGTAAGGATCTATTTTTCAATCTGACACATGCATCCAGGGTTTTATTGCAATTATCATTTTACTTTTTATTTTATTAAAGTCACAATGTTCTTGATAAAATTATCTTTAAACATGATAAACAATCGATGACAAATATATGATTTTAATAATATTGTTAATAATATTAAATTGTTATGAATACCTTTTGCCTTGTGTTGAGTAATTCACCTTTCTGTTTTAGAGATATTTACAACTCAGGTTTCATGACCTTATTTATCTTTTCATTTTCTACTGTTTACGTTTTCTTCTTGGCATAGACTCTGAGTAACATGTCTGATGCAGATTATCTGTAGTCGCAATTACAGTAAAACATGATTTTTTTGCCTGAGTAGGAAGGTCACTCTAGGATTGTACTTTAACATGGGAGTCAATGAGAGAAAAAGGTTTTGCCGAGAAATAATGTTCACTGTTGATAGGTGTTCACTAGTTAGATGTGTTCACTAACTCAGGTTTTACTGTACATGTTAGTTCATTTTTCGTAAGTCATGAAATACATGCATGGATAAGCAAAGGCATTCAATAGATGTGCTCTTAGAAGTCATTACAGAACACAGTCATTACATTTTTTCTGTTCATGAGCCTTGATAACCCCTTGTAAGGTGTTTCTAGAATTTTATTGCTAGGCTCTGGACAACAGAATACATTTTGTCATCACATAATCAAAAAGTTTCAGGCAATTAAGCATCCAATTATAAGACCAGTGGTGTATTATATGAGTGTAATCCTAGTATAAGGCCATGATCTTATAGTGAGAATAAGATAATAAAATACCATTAAAAGAATAAAAAGGAAAAGCTTCTACTGTACTTTCTTTCACTAGGGATTTCATTATGGGTGAACCTTTGTCAATTCAATGTACCTTGTTGTCCAAAAAGTGTCATTTTGACTGATGAAATTGTTGGAAGTAGATCATGAGACACATCCAAACCCCAGTAGCTAGAATTAATCAATTAACATCCTTTGACTTTGATTTTAAAGTTTTGAATGTGAAAAGATCTTAATGAACCAAAAAGAAGTCAATTTGGCATATCGATGGGTTTCCAGATAAAATAAATGCCAGCTTTATAAAGGTATAAAATTGAAAAATTCAAAAAGAGGTTTAGCATAAATGATAGTGTTATGTATGAAGAAAACTCGTATAATATATGTACCAGTGGCATCTAAATCTTAAAGGAACATGAACACGATATTATCAGTTATCAATATGGAGACATGAATTACTTTTGCTTTATCTTAAAGACCCAGAGAGCATGTGGGTGTGGATTACGATAAGCCTTTAAGTCTTGATAAACACAGCATGCAGATTTTATGCAATAATATCATAATGTTTATGTAAGAATTTGGATGCTGTATGATTACATTCCTTTGGGATGCGGTATCCATAGCAATAGTTATGAGAAAGTCCATCAGAGAGCTTGGATATAATGTGATTATCCCAATCACAAGAGCTCTATAATTATATTACCATAATCTGTTTGCAACACACAAGTTATTTTAATTATTTTATGTCAAATGTTAGATAATATTAGATACTCTATATTCTACTCTTGTGTGATTCCTTTATAGCAATGCTGTCAGTATTGAGATTATTCTAATCTCCACCTGATTCTACTTATATAGATTATATAGATTTATTAATTTGATAAATTATAGATTTTGTAATGTTCTCTGTTTAGTATGGGAAGCTGAAGAGTACAAACAACATAGGGAGACTACAAACAACATAGGGAGACTACAAACAACATAGGGAGACTACAAATAACATAGGAAGACTACAAATAACATAGGAAGACTACAAACAACATAGAAAGACTACAAATAACATAAGAAGACTACAAACAACATAGGAAGACTACAAATAACATTGAAAGACTACAACTTACATAGAAATAGCCTTTAAAGAGTGGAAATGGACAATATGAGAATGGAATGAGATTTCCACTAGAAGATGTGCAGGACCCTTTAGATTATGAACAAAATAATGAGATCTTTGAATATTATGAAAATAGGACATATTATGTTTAGAACCTGAATGAAGATATACAAAAAAGTTAAACTTGTCTTAATGAACACCTCTCTCTCTAGTGAACACCTATCCTAATGAATACCTCTCTCTCTAGTGAACACGTGTCTTAATGAACACCTCTCTCTCTAGTGAACACCTGTCTTAATGAACACCTCTCTCTCTAGTGAACACCTGTCTTAGTGAACACCTCTCTCTCTCTAGTGAACACCTGTCTTTAATGGACACCCTTCCCCCACACTTACTCTACTTACTTCTGTATAAATTACCCTCTCTGTAGTGAACACCTACCTGCAGTCAACACATTTTTGTGGCTCCATAGGTATTCACTGTCTACAGGTTTTACTGTATATCGGAAATTTGTAACGTAAACAATTGTTTACGAAAATAGAAAATATATGTGCATACTCTAAGATACATTATTAAATCAAGATTATAGATAAAAATTGTGAGGAAGTTTCCTGAAATTGAAAGTTTAGATTCCAGAAATGAAATTGTACCCATGTTGACCTTTAATTGAATGAAATAACATGAACCAAATAACTTTAATGTACTCAATACATCTTGTTTACTAATATAGAAATAAGCGTAACATTTCCCTTATCTGGTTTTGTCTATTTGTTGTCATTGTTTATTTTAATGTGGTTAACCTCCAATATGGCCCCACTGACAATGTTTTCATGAAATATATTTGTGTATTTTGAGTACATTAATGCTATATGATCTGTGCCAATAGAATTGTCATTCACATCACTCATGTAAACAGGAGGTGTCATTGTTTACACATTGTTTACACACAATTCCTTCCACAGTTGTAGGCCTAATGATCATTCATATTCTTCAACTAATTTGATCACTAAAATGTTCTCGATTTTGAGACATGAATATGGTAAAATTTGCGTTAAATGAACATGCTAGGCTTAAGATTGAAACTTAAGAAATGTCCAAGATTTTGAGAAGCACATATGGTAAAACTTTTGTTATAGATTTTCAAACACATGTATAGTAAAATTTGTGTTATAGATAATGAGACACATATACAGTAAAACATTTGGTTACGAGTTTGAGAAAACAATAGAAGATTTTGAGACACATAATTGACAAAAATTTCAAAAGTCTTTTTTCAGTTTTAACTTATAAAATTTCTTTGACGCATTCAGTCAAATGATTATGGCGGGAAACTATTTGCTCTGTCATCTTGGACTGTGCCGAAAATTCCCAACCTGCAACCGTTCAATATCACTGATTCAGACATCTGAAATGTGTTCATAATATTTAGTTTTTGGCTAACTCTAAAAACGTTTCATGTGTTCAGCCAGGTAGTGTTGTTTACAGGAAGTTTAGTTTATCGGACTGATTGATTGGTGGAATCTGCATATGGAATTCTCATCACTGTGAAATGCCTGTATCGTCAAAGACATAGATTTACCCCCATTAAAGGGCAGGTAGAAGATACTGTACCTCCGCCATTGATATGATACTCTTCCCTGGGGATGTTTTCTCTTGGAATGATACAGAAATGCAAATACAGTAAAACCTGTGCATCCGAACACCTTTCTTAAACTGAATGCCTCTCCCAACTGCCCAATATTAAGAATTTTTGGTATCATTATTAGTATTTTTTGTTTAAAAAAATGTAAACAGTCTGGAATTCCTTGTTAAATGAAGCTTTTAGAGGTTAGAAGAGGCTGAATTCCCACTTTTTCAAAAGTATACTTTTGGTGGGTTTGAGGGTAATACTTTAGTGCTCATTTGTTATGCTCCGGAAGCGGACAAAATTACACCCCCTCAATAAGTCTGATAACTCAGATCCCGATATTGGATGGAACAGTTTAAATTTTTCTCTGTAAAACCTATAAGAAATTAACTATTGTTGTGACTGGTCGAACAAATTGACTCCATTCCAGATAATTCTATTTTCTATCATTCACAATTGGAGACAAAGATGAACTTTGAAAATTGCCATTCCCATATAAACCAATGGAAAATACTGGGTTTGCTGCAAATTCAATAACAGGATATCGATTCATTTCAGCACTCGAAAAATTGTTTTTATGTGGACAATTGAATTTACTATCTTTACTTGACAAATAATTGATAGGTTTCTTTAGAAATGAAAGTTTCACATCTTAAAGTCAAAATCATTCTTCAATAAACATTTCGCATTAAAACATCACAGCAGACAAAATTGACTTTGTTTATCTCTGTATAACACTTAGTTACCAAAGCAAACTTAAATATTTGAGTAGAAAAAAGTTGTACAATTTATTTTTTATGTAAGAGTATGTTAAATTGTGATTAACATGAATTGCACAAAAAAAGTGCTACATTGTCATAATCTTGCAGCGATTTGGCATGCAGGTGAGCACAACTTGAATCAATTCCTGTTCTCATTTTTCAACTCACAAAGATTGCAAAAATAAACAAACAAACCAAACAAAAAGGAAGATCCAGTTGTCGATTGATGCTGGATACCTCTGGTATGATAGGAAGTTACATATGTATCTATTTTAAGGCTGTTTACATATCATTTCACACACAGTAAACTTTATAGCCCTGTAAGGTAGACAGGAGATATTTGTATTTTTACCTGACATTAACTACCAATAGAGAAGTAGAGGTCACGTTGCTACCTATGGAAGGTTACAGGTCAAACAGATCTCTGAGATGTTAGGCATAAATCCATTCACCTTTCATAGTCAGCCTTCTTAATCATTTTTACAGTTATGGCCAAAAGCATAATCTAGGAATTTGAGTCCTTGACCAGGACTGAACAAGGAGGACATCTGGCACTGTTTAGATGTATTCCTAATTCTTAATTGTGACCACAGGCTGTGATGTAATTAAAGGCTTTCCTTCAGAATTTCTCTCCATCCTTTGTAATTAAATATTACACATCTGGGAAAATCTAAAAAAAAATATTTTTCAAAAAGTTAGCTGCTTTGAAGTTTGAATGAATACCCTGCTTTAGAAAGAGTCAGTTGACAACATTTTAATCTATCCTTGATAATTGGGACTTAATCAACTGGGACATATGTTCCTGGTATAAAATGTGTTCTCATTTTGTTTAAAGGATTATAAACTTAGACATTCATAGTTTGCTATTGTTCATTGACTCCTGGCTGCAGATGCTTGAGTTATAAAAACACAAACAATGTTTTATTGTTATTTTACAAGGCTATACATTTCCTTTATACCAGGTGTATCATGAACAGTTACTGACATTGTATCCACTTACCCTGAATTTACATTGTTTTGGTCAATGTACCTCTGACTATGCCATATGCTTTTTAGATAAATTGAATGAAATGTTTTATTGCTTAACAACCTCAAATGTCGAAAATTCTTGAAAATCATGCTGTTTTTCACCATTCTGAGCACTTTTCAAGTGATTTTGGACCAAAGTTGTCAAATGTAAACCCTCTGGAATTTTTTTAATGTGACCCCCCCCCCATTGGCAAAAGCTGGCTACAGGCTTGTTTAGTATCATGGTTTTCTAACTACACATTCTGAATGGACATAAGTGTTAAACCAAGGAATTATCTCTACTCTTATTTAAAGAGTGAAAATGATGATTCAGATGTATGATTTCATCTCAAAATTCTAGTTAAAGGATGGGGTATTGTTAATTTATATTTAACAGTTATGTTGTGACTCCCAACTGTTTGTTGAAAACAAATGTTTTGCAAAATTGGATATATTTTTGGGAGATAGCAGATGGGTAGATGGATGAAACATATCATATTTCTTTAATCCACCAGTCCTTTTACATTATGAACCAAGTGGAGTTGTGAAATCCTATTTAAATAACAATAGATTTCAAATGTCAGACCACTAATGCAGTAAAGCCTGTGTACAGTGAACACCTATCGAGCCAAAGAAATGTGTTCACTGTGGGTATGTGTTCACTACAGAAATCAGTGGAGTATGTGCTTAGGACTGTGTTCACTAGACATAGGTGTTCATTAGAGAGAGAGGTGTTCACTAAGAGAGGTTTAACTGTACATCATTGTTTCAGTTGCGTTTGAACATTGCCACCCTTCAAGGGATTAAATGAAAAAGGAAACACTGACCTTATACAAACAGTTTATGGTTCATATTTTTGTCATTTATTGATCTGTTCGTGAAAAATCAATGCAGAGCTGGGATTTGAGATGATGAAGTGCTGAAGTGGCTAAATAGAAGACAACTATCTTTGATGCTAAAAGTACATGACATAACCCTTGGAAATCACTTTATTTGTACCCTTCGCAATAGCTCTTGAAATGTGAGATAATTCTTTGATGTGGCATTCATCCTCTCAGAATATAAATTAAAAAAACATGATACTGTATTTTCTGCTTTTTGTAGCTGATATTCATTTACATCAAATCACAGAGCTTGGAAATACATATGAATATTCATATACTGTCAAATCACCGGTGTTTGTAAGAGGAAAGAGTTGCTAGCCAATGAGGATTCAGGGTACTGATTCTGTGTAATGAAGTTGTGTGCGTCACATCAGCCAACTCACTCTAATAGACTATATTTTCAATAAATGCTATTTTTAACTATAAAATTAATTAATCAGAAAACATGTAGTGTATTGTGTTCATTTATGCATCATACAACCTGTTTTGTGTATCATGTTGCATTGTTTATGTATCGACATTGATCTCTATTATTCTACCTGAAAAAAGCATTGTTGAAAAAACGTTGTTCCAC